TGTGGATAGCATGTACAATATAAAACCAAGTCTTATAAAAAATTTTAAAATGCACAAATTAGTAAGGCTATAAATGACTTTTAAGTATGTAAATTCATAGACAATGGGCTGATATCAGTGATTACCTCTGGGAACAGGGAAAAGGGGCTCAGTATTGAGTATAGCATTTTTTAATTAATTAATTTTTTCTATTATTAAATCTCCTTTGAACCATAATTTTCTAGTGGCTTCCTAATATTCTATCTTTTTTATTGGAGTACAGCTGGCATACAATATTATATTAGTTTCAGGTGTACAACACAGTAATACAATATTTCTACAGGCATACCTTGGAGATATTGTAGGCTCAGCTCCAGACCACAGCAATAAACCTAATATAGCAATAAAGCAAGTCACACTAATGTTTTGGTTTCCCAGTGCATATAAAAGTTGTATTTACACTATATTTTAGTCTACTAAGTGTCCAATAGCATTACGTCTAAAAAAAACAACGTACACATTTTAATTTAAAAATACTTTATTGCTAAAAAATGCTAACCACCATCTGAGCCTTCAGCAAATTGTAACCTTTTGCTGGTGGAAGCTCTTGCCTTCATGGTGATGGCTGCTGACTGATCAGGGTGGTGGTTGCTGAAGGCCGGGGTGGCTGTGGCAATTTCTTAAAATAAGACAACAGTGAAGTTTGCTGCATTGATTGACTCTTCCTTCCGTGAACTCTTCCATTTCTTTGTAGCTTGCAATGCTGTTTGATAGCATTTTATGCACAGTAGAACTTCTTTCAAAATCGACATCAATCCTCTGAAATCCTTCCACTGCTTTATCAACTAAGTTTATGTAGTATTCTACATCTTTTGTTGTCATTTCAACACTCTTCACAGCATCTTCACCAGGAGTAGATTCCATCTCAAGAAACCACTTTCTTTGCTCACCTGTAAGAAGCAATTCCTCATCTGTTAAAGTTTTATCATAAAATTGCAACAATTCAGTCACATCTTCAGGCTCTACTTTTAATTCTAGTTCTCTTGCTCTTTCCAGCATATCTGCAGTTACTTCCCCCACCAAAGTCTTGAACCCCTCAAAGTCATCCATGAGGGTTGGAACAAACTTCTTCCAAACTCCTACTAATGTTGATATTTTGACCCCTTCCCACAAATCACAAATGTTCTTAATGGCATCTTGAATGGTGAATTCTTTCCAGAATGTTTTCAATTTACTTTGCCCAAATCAATCAGAGGAGTCACTATCTATGGAAGATATAGCCTTACAAAATGTCTTTCCTAAATAATAAGACTTGAAAGTTGAACTTACTGGTCAATAATAGTCCATGAACATTAGCCATCAACTTAAAGCCATCAACTGCATTAGCCCCTAATAAGAGAGTCAGCCTGTTCTTTGAAGCTTTGAAGCCAGGCCTTGGCTTCTCCTCTCCAGCTATGAAAGTCCTAGATGGCATCTTCTTCCAAAATAAGGCTGTTTTGTCTACATTGAAAACCTGTTCTTTAGTGTAGCCACCTTCATTAATCATCTTAGAGGGATCTTCTGAGTATCTTGCTACAGCTTCTAAACCAGCCCTTGCTGCTTCACCTTGTACTTTCATGTTATGGAGATGGTTTCTTTCCTTAAACCTCATGAACCAACTTCTACTAGCTTCAAATTTTTCTCCTGCAGCTTCCTCACCTCTCTCAGCCGTCACAGACTTGAAGAGAGTTAGGACATTCTCTAGATTCGGCTTTGGCTTAAGGGAATGTTGTGAGCAGTTTGAATTTCTATCCAGACCATTAAAGCTTTCTCCATATCAGTAATAAGGCTGTTTCACTTTCATATCATTTGTGCGTTTGCTGGAGTAGCATTTTTATTTTCCTTAAAGAACTTTTTCTTTGCATTCATAACTTGGCTAACTGGTGCAAGAGGCCTAGCTTTCAGCCTATCTCATCTTTTGACATACCTTCCTCTCTAAGCTTAATCATTTCTAGATTTTGATTTGAAATGAGAAATGTGTGACTCTTCCTTTCACTTGAACACTTTGAAGCCATTATAGAGTTATTAATTGGCCTAATTTTAATATTGTTGTGTCTCAGGGAATATGGATGTCCGAGGAGGGGCAAGAAGGTGGGAGAACGGCCAGTTAATGGAGCAGTAAGAACACACACAACATTTATTAATTAAGTTCACTATCTTATATGGATGTGGTTTGTGGTGCCCCAAAACAATTATAGTAGTAACAGCAAAGATCACTGATCACAGATCACCATAACAATTATAATAATAATTAAAAAGCTTGAAATATTGTTAGAATTATCAAAATGTGACACAGAGACGTGAAGTGAGTCAACGCTGTTGGAAAAACAGTGCCGGTAAACTTGCTTGACACAGGATGGCTACTAACTTTCAATTTGTAAAAAACGCAATATCAGTAAAGAGCAATAAAGTGAAGCACAAGAAAATGAGGTGTGCCTGTAGGTGATTTTATTGCTTTTGTCTTTTAAGCTTCAAACTAACTAGATGGTTAGACGATTGATCCACTACCTTTGCTGTATGTTTGCCGTTACCAGTGAGATTTTTTTCTTTCATAATTTTCTTATTTGTAGTTATAGTCTTTTCTTTTCCATATAAAGAAGTCCCTTTAACATTTCTTGTAAGGCTAGTTTAGTGGTGATGAACTCCTTTAGTTTTTGCTTGTCTGGAAAACTTTTTCTCTCTCTTTCCATTCTGAATGATAATCTTGCCAGGCAGAGTATTCTTGGTTGTAAATTTTTTCTTTCAGCACTTTGAATACTTCCTTCTGGCATATAAAGTTTCTGCTGAAATTCAGCTGATAGTCTCATGGGGTTTCCCATGTATGTAACTAGTTGTTTTTCTCTTGCTGCATTTAAGATTCCCTCTTATCTTTAACTTTTGATATTTTAATTATAATGTGTCTTGTGGTGGGTCTCTTTGGGTTATCTTCTTTGGAAATCTCTGTGCTTCCTGGACTTGAATGTCTGTTTCTTTCTCCAGGTTAGGGAAGTTTTCAGTCATTACTTTTTCATAGTTTTCTGTCCCTTCCTCTCTTTCTTCTCCTTCTAGGATCCCTGTACTGTGAATGTTAGTATGTTTGACGTTGTCCCATAGGTTCCTTAAGCTATCCTCACCTTTGTTTTTCCTTTTTCTTTTTCACTCTTCTGATTAGGTGATTTCCACTACCCTGTCTTCCAGGTCACTGATCCATTCTTCTGCATCATCTAGTCTGCTGTTGATTCCCTCTAGTGTATTTTTCATTTCAGATACTGCATTCTTCAACTATGATTGGCTCTTTTTTATACTTTCTATCTCTTTGTTGAAGCTCTCACTATGTTTATCTATTCTTCTTCTGAGTTTAGTGAGCACCTTTATGACTATTACCTTGAACTCTTTCTCTGGTAGATTACTTATCTCCATTTCATTTAGTTCTTTTTCTGAGGTTTTGTCTAATTCTTTCATTTGGAACTTATTCCTTTGTCTCCTCGTTTTGCCTAATTCTTTGTGTTTGTTTCTATGTATTAGGTAGATCATCTCTCAGTCTTAAAAGAGTGGCCTTATTTAGAAGGTGTCCTGTAGAGCCTAGTAGCACAATTACCCCTGGTCACCACAGCCAGGTGCCCCAGGTGTGTCCTCTGTGTGGGCTGCATGCACCCTCCTGTTGTGCCTGGGCTATGACTGCTGTGGCATTGTTGTGTGGGGAAGATGCTACTTTGGAGGGGCTCTGGTACCAGCCAAGGCCACCTGCCAGGTAGGGCAAGATGGGAGCCACATTGGAGGGGTGTCAGTAAGGGCAGGTTCAAAGGCAAATGCTAGGACAGGACAAGGAATGCTAGCTAGGTAGATGGAGAGTGTCAGAAATGGTGCTTTCCAGGGCCAGGCCAGCTAACTAGAAAGGAAGTAAAAAAATCTTGCCTACCAGTGCTTCCTTCCCTGGATAAAGTTCTAGCAGATCTCTGCCTCTCTGGTACATGCCCTCAAATTAGTCTCCTTCATATAACCCAGGGACTTTTCAAACTGCTGCCTCAGTGCTGGGACTCAGAGCAAATGAGCTTGTGTATGTGCCCTTTAAGAGTGGGGTCTCTGTTTTCTATGGCCCTCCACTCTCCCAGATGTAAGCCCCACTGATTTTTCAAAGCCGTGCATTACAGGGGCTCATCTTTTAGGAGCGTGTCTCCTGGGCTGGGGAGCCTGATGTGGGGCTTGGGCCCCTCACTCATCCAGGAGGACCTCTTGCTTATGGATCACCATTCCAGGGGTGTGGGTCCTAACTAGATTGTGTCTCCACCCCTCCTACCCATCTTAATGTGGCTTTTGCTTCATATCCTTAGTTGTGCTAGTCTTCAGGATGTTCTCAGTGATAACTGTTGTATATGTAGTTGCAGTTTTGGTGTGTCTATGGGGGAAAGTGAGCTAAGGATCTTCCTACTCTGCAATCTTGATCCTATATCCCTTGCATATGGCATCTTAATTTTTTTTAAAGAAAATTTTACCCTCCAGCTCTTGCACTTCCTCAATTCAGTATATCTTAATCACTTTTACTGTAACTTTGTCCAGATCTCCTAATCTTCTCTTCCAATAATGCTTTTCCAAACTTGCTAAACTTCTTATACTTTACATGTATTGTCATGCTAAACTGTCTTAAATTTCTTTGATCAGTTTTTTCTCAATTCAATTAACTATCCTTACAATCATCTCTATCTTCTTTGTCCCTCACATTTTTTATTGAGTCCTAGTAGTGAGAAAAAGTCATGTTTTATATGCCTTAGCTATTCCACAGCTTTTATTCTTTTATTCAGAATTACCATAATGTTAAAATATTAATTTGAATGTTTATAATCCACAGCTTAGAAGAATATTAATGTTTCTTTTAATTAATTAGCCCATAGGGAACTAGAAGTCCACTACTGAAGTGCGGAAAGAGAGAATAATGGGACTTTCACAGAACCTACAGAATTTTCAGGATGGCCACATATCTTTGAAAGATAACAGTCCTGGACAATTATGTTAGATTGTTTTCATTTTTTTTATTAATTGCAGCACAGAGAAAAGAGGCAAAATGTTTAAAGAAATTTGTGTTTTTTTAGACAGAGTGTTGGTTTTACACCAACAGAAAATAAAAACAGATGAATAAGCTCTGGGTCTTCATTTCCCTTTCTTTCTCTTATTCTCAGGGTAGGCTGAAAAACAAAAGGACAAATATAAGTACTATTTGTAAAATGGCATGTATTTTTCAAATCTATTCAAATGAATGCCAAATTGCTTAGATTATCTTTCTGCAATTTCTACCAATGAAAATAATTCAAACATTTCCTAGACTCATGGCAGCTGAATTCTTCTGTTGGGCTAGGGCAGAGGACACATCAATAAGTATTTTAAGTCCTCTCTTCATCACTGATATCATCAAACTCCTCAGGCTTCAAAGTCACAGGCTTTTCATCACTACTCCTCAGAGTCATTTACTTAACACCTACTTCTCACCTAAGTTAATTACAAACAGAAAAGGTGTCTTCTCAAAGTTAGATCTCTAGAAGGAAAATCTTGTCATTTAGGACTAAAACAAGTCACATTTTGAAATAATAAAATTTGCAGAGATACGAAGTTGCTTTCTTGCTTGAATGCAAAATATGTAGGTATGATCATGTGGGCAAACAGTTAGTTAAAACCTGGTAGCAGAATGGATGCCACAGTGAATTTGGAAAATATGAAAAGAATTCATGTTAAAAAATGGTTGGACAACTTGCTTTAAAAAATAAATTTTATCCCATTTTTAAAATTCAGCCAAAATATTACAACCAAAATGGCTAAAACATGTTCATGTTCAAACATCTAAATTTTAAAGTGGGTCATGAGAAGAGAAATTCTATTAAAGCTCAGCATGTTGACACAGTGGAAACTTAGTAGCAAATTGTTCAGTGTAAAGTAAAGTTCATGTACAGTAGATCTATCATATTCGCCAATGCAATGAATTTGTTATTGAGTTATTAGGTTGAACCATGTGAAATCATTGCTATTCAACTGGTTTTTACCTACAAAAATGCACTTTCATGTAGTATAGCTTAATACCTAAAGCATCCCACCACTGAACCATTGCTTAGCTGAATGACTCTGTCTACTGCGTTACATTCGGTTAGAACAGGACCGTTGCTGACTCTCAAGCTCTGGTTTGAATTTTGAATTGTGGCTCCACCTCTCACTAGCTGGGTGGTCCTTGGGTAAATTACTTAACCTATGCCTTTACCCGGCCCTTCATTTTCTCATCTGCAAGATGAGAATAATAATGGTACTCAATTCAGGCAAATATTTTGAAAATTAAATAACTTAAAATATATAAAGAGCATAGAACAGTGGTTGGCACTGGTCTATATGGCTCTTCACAAACGGTCAGTCAATTTCACTATTTTAATAAGAACTATTACAACTACTTTAAAAAACATCTAAGGTATAGTTACCTGAGATGCTCGTGATTGCGTTGTTTTTAGGCTAAGGCAAGTTGACTCGAAGCAACAAGTTTTGGACCCTGAATACAAAGAAAATGACCAATGTGGGGAAAATATTAGCATCACTGTCAGGGTAAAACATCAACATTTGTACAGCCATTGGTGATTACGAAGTAATTTTACACACATCACGTCTTTTAATTCCAGTTTAGTACTAGAATCTCTAGAAGAAAGCTCACTGACATCTATTGCTCTCAAAGGAATAATAAGTTACTGTCAAGTCATAGGGGGAAATAGTAAATGATTCAGTCAGACATTTACACACAAACTTCCCCACTAACCTGTAAAAACAAGCACTCAGTTTCAACCAAATCACAAAACAGCCTTTTTCAAGAAAATGCTTAAATAAATTTATGTTTTGGTTTAATGATGTCTCTATCAAAAGATTTCAGGCCTTACAAATACTTCTATCTATATTCGTAAACATCACAACTTTGGAAACAGAATAAATGTTGCAAACATTTAATAATATGCTACAGTGCAGCAGGAGATTAAAAAAACAAAACAAGAGCTATGTAAGTCTTTTGTAAGACAATTGTATGTAGAATAAGATTCCTGTCTCACATGTACGGAGTGTCCTTCGGATACATAAACTTCTAACCCCTAGCTTGATCAAATTCAACAACAACAAAGGAGATTAGACACATTAAAATGAAGACAAGCCAGTACCTCCTCAGCAAAGCAGGCCTCTTTGTCCTCAGCTCCGCAGCACTTGGCTACAAAGGCTGAGAAATTTCCCAGGACAGTTTTCAGTTGTTCTTTTGTTGCCTTGGGCTTGTGTTTCACCAGTTCAGCAAGTGCACTGAGTATGAATGAAAAAAATAAAAGAAAGTTCACACACAGAAAGAAAAATAGAGATGGTGAAGGCGGTGGTGCTGTTTCTTAAGATTACGAACCTTGGAGCCAAGCAACTCTGGTTTGAGGCCCAGGCTTACCACTATAAGCTTCAATGTTCTTATTTGCATGAGGAGAAGAAAATCCACTTTCGTGGGGTTGGTGGAAGGATAGATAATCAATGTAAATTGCTCAATATCTGTAGTGCCAATAAATCAATAAATCTCTGTTCAATCAATCTCTGGAAAGGATTATGTCATTGCATTTACGTACTATGTAGATTATGGAAGTTATGCCATATTGAATTTTATAACTATTTAAGAGCTAAAAATGATCCTTAAAATTTTAATTATCTTGGACTCCATTTAAAAAGTTGCTACTCTGAGAATCTTTATATTTGGTTTTCGAAATTTTCCCAATTCAAAGTTACTGGTGGGGAGGTCATAGGAAATAAGATTATCCAAATTCATGGGAGCTGGCGCTTTTCTTTCACTGACATCTGCAAAGACAATAGTGCTAGAGAAGAGTGTTTGTGGGCATGAAAGATTTTACAATGTTACTCTTAAGTCTGTGGCCATGATCAGAACCCATCAGAGACGCTAACAACTTTCTGTTGCTAAATTTCATGGAATAATAACCCATTGTGACAGCAATAGGGAGCCAAGCCTCAGAACTCGCATTTCTAGTTGTTTTTCACCCAAGCTGAATTCTCAAAAGTCACATCTTAAGTGTTTGCTTTGCCTGTGGGCTGCCATAGAACAAACTTAGAATAAGCATTCATGCCTAGAAATAAATTCTCCTATGATTTCTACTACCTAATTTCCTATCTGCACAAATGCATCAGTTAATTGTTCAGCTTTTTCTACTGGACCTCACCTAAGATATTATTCTACTGCAGATTTTATCCATAATAGTACTCTGATTTGTAGTCAGGATTATGATACAGTGGTTTTTTTCCTAAGAAAACAAAAAGCTATCCATTTTATTCTTGACACTTTTGTCAGCTTAATAGGGCCAATACCTAAATACTCTTTTCTAAGGAATGTAATCACTACTTCAGAAAAAGTTGCTCATTTCAATTTACAGTTCTCACTATCAAGACGACAAACACATGCAGTAATGAAATATTCCTCACGATTGTTTCTTGATTTGTTTCTCATCTTCAGGAAGTGTGCATATATCTGCATGGAAGGTGAATGTTTCAGCCTTAAATTCTTTGGGAACATATCCTTCATCGAGTTCCAGAGCAGAAAAGCATGGCCGTCTTTCCGCCAAGGAATCCGTGCAGCATTTGGTAATCTTCTCACTCACTGGTGTCTTCTCATGCAACACACACAACCGGTTCAGGGCCAAGGCCAGCTAAAGAACAGACAGGAGAGCAGAAATTCAAAAGAAGCAGAATTAAAAGTTCTCCATGAACTCCTACTTACCAATGGACCAAAACAAGTGTTATATTTTAACTAGCAACATAGAATCCAAGGTTGACTTGAAGTAGTGATTTGCTTATCTTTAAAACTACAAACAATAAGGGACTTTTAAAACTCTTTTCTCTTTTAATTAAATATGTCCACATTTTAAGAATAATTCACTTGAGAAAATAATTGATTAAAATAATTTGAGGTGCATCCTGAGATATGCGTTGGAGTGAGGAGGAAATAGTCTTATACAATACAATAAAGAAAGACAAAGAAAGTAAAAATTGAGAAAACGCCAGGATGGAACACTGAAAGTTCATGAAATTTTTTCAAAACAGTTTATCATCTTTGGGATCTTATCTAAATCCTCATTCTGATGGTCAGGACGCTATGGGTGACTGAGTCCTGCCTGCCACTACCCAGGCCCCACCACCCACCACACACACACACGTTAGTCCACCCCTGCCTCTGAAAGTTAGCTTTGTCAATATCTAAAGGTAAAAAGTCATCATTATTAGCTTTATCATATTTAAAAGACTCACATGGTTTTCAGAACAGGGCAATCTTTCTGATTCAGGAAGTTTACAGCATCTGCTGCCCACTTTCCCCAGGGTCCTTCCAATCTCCACGAGAGTTGGAGTTGACACCTGGGGTGCTTTCTTGGTGTAACGAACTATGAGCCTATGACAAAAAAGTCCATGTGTTTTTAGCCAGGCAAGAAACCGTCTTTGTCTAACATAGGAGGTCAAGCAGAGAATACTTAACCAAAATTAACTAAGATGATTGTTCACTCATAACGTTATCTCCAGCTCCAGGTTGGTGGGATGGGGTGGGGGAAGACCTTGTCCCAGGCGACTAGCTAAGCCTGGCTCTGAATTCCACCTGCGCTGCATAATCTTGGGAAGCGCCTTACCTTATTATAACTCAGTGACATAAATATATTTATTAACTGCTGCTTTCTTTCAATAAAACCTACTTAGAGCTTAATATATGTCAGCACTGTGCTAAATTTGAAAGACAAAAATAAATTTTCTCACCTATGAAATGGAGGAAATATATCTGACTCAATAGGGATGGTACAAGGAGTAAATTAAAAGAAATAAAGTATGCAATCAACCTGGCATGGTACTTAGCATGTAATAATCATTTACTAAGAATGTCAATCACCACTGAAAGTCAATGTATGACCGTAATCTATTCAAGCGAAGAGACAATGTGTTGTTCGTTGTTGTTACTCCTACCACACATAGTTAGAAGAGTGCTCACATGTGTAAGTGAACAATAAATATCTACTGAATAATATGCCCTTTCTTGTCTTTACCTCCACAGATAAGGCTCTATTAGATCAGGATATTGATTTATCAGCTTACTGAGCTACACTTTCAAGGCCTACTCTTTCCTGCTCTGTAAAGCACTGCTGTATTTGGTTTGCCTGTAAACTATTCCTTCACCTTCAAGGGGCATCTTCAGCTCCTATAACCCAAGATTTGATATTTTCCCTCCCAGACCAATTTTTCAAACTGCACTCAAATGTAGACCTCTCCATTCCATCAACTATATTATCCCTTTCTCCTCTTTCTTGATGGAGGGTGATCAGAAATACATACTGTATTTTCACAATTAAAAGTTGTATGATAGGTGGTCTAAATATTGTCTTAAATAATTACTAATTGTTAAAAAAAAATAGCCAATAAACAAAAATACTTACGCATTTTGAAAGTCATACTCTCCAACCTCTTCAAAAAGGTCACAGTTTTTCTTGACTAAACTCTTAGGCTCCTCCACAAGAGGTGTAAACTGATCAAACTGAAAGATAAGAGAATTGCGTTTACAGTGTTCCACCTGAGGACCAGAGGCGGGCTGGTTTTCACTCCTCTCGGCAGAGGGAGAGCCATCCTCCTTTCTGCCCAAAGTCATGTAAATAGATCTTTAATGACAAATCTAATATGCCCAAACTGTTTATTTTGTTTGGCCAGGCTGTATAGTGTAAGTGATGAAGAATACTCAGACTCCAGAGTGCGACTGCTGGCATTTGTGCCAGGCCATCTACTCAACTTTACTTCCCATCTCCTAGCTTTAGAACCCTCATCTCTAAAGTGAGGATGAAGATGGAACTCACCTCAGAGAGCTGCTTTGTAAACCACCTGAGTTAATGAAATTAAAATAGTGCCTGGACCATGGTAAAAGCTCAATAAAGGATGGCTATGGTTATAAGTATCATTATTACTAAGCTACCTCTCCAGCTGGATCCTGAGCTCTCTGAGATAAGAGAGTCTACCTTGGTCATTGGTTCCAGTATGGTACCTGGCATATAGCAAGTTCTTGGTAGAGGAAAGAATGACTTTCCTCTGATTCTGAAGTTTGAAAATTACTATATATGCTAGGAGTGCTAAATATCTTAAATACGCCAAAATTCTATTTTCACATAGCTAAATATGCTAAAAATCCTCCAGACAAGATTTCCACTCCTTACTTAATTTCCTGTAAAACTATTCTAAAACTTTCTCAAAAAGATTTCAAAATATTGTAAGTGAAGAGATTTCACAACCTTCCTCAAGATACTAATTCTTGACACTTGATAAATCTTGGAATCAGGTTAATATTCTTTATATCTAAGTTAAACCTCTTCTAATTAACATTTAATTTTACTTCATCTTATTTTGCTCTCAGGAGTGTGAAAGAGAGAAAAAGCATGGTCAAGATTTTATGAAATGAGACTGCTCTCTTCAGATCCTTCTTTTTTAAAGCCTATTCTAGGTTTTATTAACCATTCTATTTAAGGCTATTTTTCCTATAATGTTTAAGAGTACAGAATTGAAACCATCTCAAGAAAAGATCTAAATTGCACTATATAATGTTTTACAATCTTGTATTATTTTTCTTTCTTATTATTGGGACCGTCAGTCAAAGAGCTGCATTTTTCCCTTGAAGAAACCTACCACTGTGGCGTAGCACGCAGGAGGGTCGGCCTCCGCACAGCACTTCTCCAGCGTGGCTTCATATGTCTTGGCAATTCTCAACAGCAAGGAGACGGAGTAATCAGGATGCCTTCTTGAGTATTCATACAAAAACCTAATTAAGATGAAGATAAAATAGATTTAGATGGACAAATGAGCAAGAGAAATCACAGAACTAACCACAAGAGTAACTCATATCCCAAGTATCTGAATTTGACTAACCTCCATGCAGTAAACCTTAGTGGCTAAGGGCTTGGGGTGCAGAGTTAAAGCTACCTGCATTCAAATTGTGGCTCTGCCACTTATTTTACTATATCACCTGAGGCAACTTATTAAAATTAGCAGGGCCTTAGTTTCCTCTTCTGCAGAAGGGGATAATAACAGTACCGACCCCACGAGGCGGGTTGTGAGAAATACATGACATAATCTACACAAAACACACACTGTCTGGCACAGATTAAATGTCGGGTGAATGATACCTATTATTATTATGTATATTTTGTTTGATTTTGACTACACCTCTAAAAGGTTCCGATAGATAGATAGATAGAGATATATTCTTAAATTTTTCTATTTCCTCTCTGTATGAGTGAAATCTTAAAGGCTACATAATTTTATGAAACATTATTTAGTGCACAGAATACTATTATACTCCAACAACAAAAATGCAAAGTTTATCACCACGCTTACTGACTATATATAATCATTTATTTTGTCATTTGATTGTGTGTTGCCTTGCCATGTTACTGGATTTCTGGACTTTTCAAGCAAATATAAAACAGCTGGTGGCAGACTCTGTACTTCTCTTTATACCTCTTTGTTGCTGTCAGATACCTATAGATAGATAGATAGATAGATAGATAGATAGATAGATAGAGGATAGGTGATAGATAGATAGATGATAGATAGATAGCTATAAAGATGTATTACATATATTCATACGTATACATTATGGTCAGTTCAAGAAATACTCTTTGAATGAATAAATGAATAAATAATATGTATGTAATTTATGTATACACAAAATGTTTCTAGAGATATTTCTAGAAATATGCCTAAGGAGTAAGGAAGGGGGGTAAAAATAGAAACTTATTTGTTACTTTGTACTCTTTTCTATTGACTGAGCTTTTGCCCTGAGCATGCGTGTGTTATGTTATGACAATTTTTTAAAATTAATTAATTTTTTCCAAAAAGTTATAAAAGCTGGGAGAGGGAAGGATAAAGAAGCATTGTAGACAACACGGAAATTGTAGTAACTCCAAAGGAAAGCCTAGAATATCTTCCTAAATCCTGAGACCATCTAAAAGCTATGAAAGGATAATTCCTCATCCACTTACGTGCCCAGGAAGACATCTTTGGCATCCTTATAGTGTTTGCAGATTTCCTTATCTTCAGCAAAATCAGCAGCTAATGCAGGCAGGTCACTAGGCAGGTCATCTTCTTTCACCTCGGCAATGCAGTGGGATTTTTGCAACAAAGGTTTATCACAGCATGCTTTCAGTTTGCCAGAGATTGAATCTTGATGTTCACATATGTACTTGGCAAGATCCGCCTAGAAGCAAGTTGATGGAAATTGTTCAATGTAAATTGACGTCACTACACTTTCTTCCCAGGACTTTATTATGTTGGCAGAACATGTTCATTGTATTCTAAGACTATACATACATCAACCTGCCTTCTATGAACACTTCCAGCCTGTTTCCTTAGCCTGGAGACTCAGAACGACTAAAACATTTCTACTCAATTGAAAAAACTAGTCAGTAGCAGGGGCTCATATCAATTATTTATTAATTTTATAATTAAGGCATTTAAGTTTTTAAATTAAAACTCAGTGTTGTTTTTCCAAATATTTTCCCAAAATAAAGTGCCGGCATTTTGAAACCATAATAACTAAAGTGTGAGAAATTTTTGAAAAATTAGTCAAGATCATAGTCACAGGCCCCACTTACACATGGAAAATATCTGCCTTAAATTTTCAAGAAAGCGTCCTGAGAGATTAGGATTCTGGTATTTGGTCATATTTTTAAGTTTGGCGAAAAGTGATATCATGCTAAATATTTGCATATTTAACACAGAGAGGAAAGTAAGAGAGAATATAGAGAAAAAACCTCATAATTTCCAAAGGTCTCTTCAGATACCAGCCCTTCTCCAACTCCACTCACCTCCCAAAAAAATCTCTAAGAAATTTACCTTTTTAGCTCTTCTACTTCAGTTTAAACCTTTGTCCTCAGTTAGAGTATGACGGAAAGGGATTACAAATTAGGGAATGTTTGTCAGATCGCTTACTGAGTAGGTTAGCCAGATTTAAAAAAAGGAACACAAGACAGGGAAAGGATTGCATAGATTACAGCACAGGAGACCATCTTGACTCACTGTCAGTTGTCGCCGACGATACTAAACAGATTGATTCAACCAACTTAAGCACGTAAGTTACAAAAAAGCACACTGAAGATTCTTTACCCTGTCATCGGCACATTCAAGCAGGTCACCGTGGCAGCATTCCTTGTGGACTTTGGTAAGATCTGTCACTATCTTGGAAACCTCTGCAAAGTCAGCCTTGGGAAATTTCTGGCTCAGGCGAGCTACTGACCTAAAAAGGAAATTCTTCTATCAAAATACTATTAACATGCAATATTTTATGTGAAAGCATCAGGAAAATACTACTTCTAACAAGAAAATTCAGATAAAATAATACATAGAAATAATCTGTAAAATTAATTAGTTCTTATTTTAATTCTAGTTCTGAACCAAATTGTTCTCTTAGAGCAACATGTCTTAGAGCAGAATTACCCATTGTAAGAATTGTCCATTGTAATTATCCACTGTATGTGGTGTACAGAAGTCCAGCGATGCATAAACGCAGAAACCAAAGAGGGATTCTACAGGAGACATGCTGAGCCACATCAGGTTTGGAGACCAGATCTGAACTTCGAGATCTGGCTTTCCTGCTTATAAGTAGCATAACCCTAGGCAGGTTACTTCAGCTCTCCAAGCTTCAGCCTCTGCAGAGTCACAACAGTAGGCTAAAGCAAAAGATTGTTCTGAGGACTAAAGTACATAATGCATATGAAAGCATTTTATAAACTGGGAAGTGCCATACAAACTCTAGTGAGCTTTTTTTTTTTTGGAGGAAGATTAGCCCTGAGCTAACATCTGCTGCCAATCCTCCTCTTTTTTGCTGAGGAAGACTGGCCCTGAGCTAACATCCATGCCCATCTTCCTCTACTTTGTACATGGGACGCCTACCACAGCATGGCTTCCCAAGCGGTGCCATGTGCGCACCCGGGATCCGAACCAGGGAACCCAAGGCTGCTGAAGAGGAATGCACGAACTTAACCGCTGTGCCACTACCGGGCAGCCCTCTAGTTAGCTTTTTTAATCAATTACAACACGTTCTTCCTGACTTCTAAAGGTCTCTGAGAAAAGAAATTTCATAACTTTTGCAAAATTAGGGAGTTTTGATTAAGCATACTTTTACCAAGAAATTAATCCAGCACAGTCTCTAAACATGATGACAAGATGTAAAAGGCCAATATCCATATGATTTCTCAAATCCTTTCAGAGTTACATAAATCTGATAAAAGGTACTTCTTCCACAAAAGCAATCATAACCTGTTTGACTGTGCATCGTTTCATGTTGGGGTTGCTTTGCTTATGGATTTGGTTGATTTTGATAATGTAGAAGGTAGAGATTACATGCAAAGACAGTTCAAAGGATGGTTTCCAAGGAGCTTGCAAAATGTTGCTTATTTTTATTTTATCTCCTGTTCACATTGGTTCATTGTTGACTAGCAAGTAAAGGATTGGGGAGGGGGCATTTTTCTTGGCTTGGATACTATTAAAGGTTGCTTCTAGAACCAGCTAAGTCATATGAAAAGAGAGGGCCTGGGGGAAAAAAAGAGATTAAGAGTAGAGCTGGAGCTATGAAAAATGAGAAGTAACCTTGATGGCTGTACTTAATTATCAGAATATAAAACGACAGACACTTTCAGATAATTGGGGGGAGGGGAAGATAAAATTAAATGAAAGCTCCTAATTATAGCTCTATAAAAACTGTGGACTGTTAGAATAAGATCCTTAGTTTTTAGAGATAAATAGGGGTTTAAATACCTGTCGTAGAAGGACAAAAAAGATGTCCTGTAAGTTCTTTGACTACTTAGAAAAAATATGATAAAAAATAATGGCGAATTGTGATTGATGCTCTGGTTTTCACCTCTGTTAAATTTTTACCTTTTAGACAACCAAAAGGATGCATGTGAAAGCACTGTGTAAAATACTATATAAATGCACAATTTTGTCAACTGAGCCATCATCATTTACATCATAAAGACGCAAACTAAGTTTAAAATACCATGCTTTGACAGCTCTCTCCCCAAAATTTTGGAAACTGGAGCACTTGAGTCTCTCTTTGGCAGATGAAAGCAGTATTCTTTCCTTCAAAGCATCAAGCTGTAAAAAGAAATTATTTTAGAAAAATTAAAAGAGAAAAATTCTAAGCGAAAACCCCTTCTTAAGTTCAGATGAGACTATGCCAAATCAAATTTTAAAGAGATAACTGACACCTAAATTGCCAAGTGCTCACTATTGGTAAATAATTATTTTGCTATGTAGGGAGAGGAAAAATCAGCCTGGCGCTAGCAGAAGACTCTAGGTATTTAAGAACCAGGATGGAGGCATTGCCAGGGAAAAGGGAACTGAAAAGAAAAATGGAAGAACTGAGTACACTAATATCTCAGGGAATATAACTTTACTGATTTCTTAATTTTGCATGTAATTCATTTCAATCTCTCTTCCACCAACTTTCATAACATCAATAAACTCCCTAAAATACAAAATAAATATTTATGGAGTGAACGAATAAACCCAGGCTTCTAGATGCAGTTAAATTCTCTACTTAGAATTCCATCACCCCTCTCCTCCAATAAAAAAGGCTCATGAAAAGATAAACGAAAACTGTGCCTCCTTGCCATGCAATTTTACAGATGAGTTTCTGTATTTCATGACAGTGACCAGCACCATAAAAAGAAGGGGAATATTTAGAGGCATACACAGTGATGCCCTCTGTCAGATCCACTTTGACAAACTTTAGAAGGAGGAATGGGAGATCGGAGGCCTTCAAAATGGGAAAGATCTTTGTGGAAGATAAGAGTGAAGAAGGCTTTTTTGACCATGTAAAGAAGTTTATATCAGAGACTTAGTTTCCCTAAATATGGCCACAAGATCATCCAAATCTGAGGCTAGATTATGAATTAGTTCTTCTATTCTTCTGGGGAATACCTTCGGTATCAGACAGCCAGCTTTATCATCAGCTGGACAGCATTCTGTAAAATCTGCTTTATATTCCTCAGCGTGGAAAAGTAGTTCTGGGCCGTAAAAGTAAGGATGTCTTCTGGCAACTTCATACAGGTATCTAAATGTTTTAAAAGAAAAACAGTCATTTTTCTATAGCAGACAGTATTACGGGAACAATTGTAATGGACCATTCTCCTCAGAGCCTCTAAAACCCAAACACATCTAATATACCTATTAAGCTCAATTTGCATATGATGACCTTGCCTTTGTCATTCTTAAATCAGTGAAAAGGTTAAACTTATGTACAAACTTACATATATATACATATGTATACATGCATCTGTATGAAATAGTTAAATTTTGGTGATCTAACATTGACTAAAATGAAATCAAACCTGAGAATAAATAAATATATATCTTCATAACATTTTAACACATGTCAATCTCAAATTTTTTCATATAGATTATATCCTCTTTCAATAAACTCTAAAAGATCTTCAATGAAATTTTTTATGGTGTAGAATTGTATAGTATCAACTACTCCTTCTTTGAAAATTGTCATTAGAACAAAAGCTTCCAAGTCTTAATGTTGAAAATATTTTTGGTTATAGTCATTGTTATCATGTCTTGACCGATTCCATAATTTTTAATTTTCAAGGACAAAAACCTGATTACTTACTTTCCCAGAAACTTGTCTGGATCTTCCTGGAAGGCGGCGCACTGAGCGTCCGGTTCTGGTTTCAGCTTGGGGAGGTTCGGGTGATCATCTTTGTGTGTCAGGAAGCATTCATTTCTCTCAGGTTCTTGTTTTTCACAGCAGTCAGCCAGTTCACCGTAGGTTGCACGAAGAGTTGCAACTGTACACAGTTTATCTCCAAAAAGAGTATGCTAAATGGAAGACAGCAGGCTTCAAATTGCTGGGCAGTACTTTATTTTCTTTATACCCAAACAACAGTATAAAAAATTTAATATACTGGTAAACCTTGGTCAGGAAATCATAAAAATCCACTTTTGCCTCAGGTTTAGAGAGTTTCTCCTGATTGAACCGTCTATGTGCGATTTTCATCAGAGTTAACTGGCACACTATTACTTACAGCGGATAAAACAGGAGGGCAAAAAGACCATCAATGGCTCTAAGGAATGAACATTACTTCTATTTCCAATTGAGGATAACAGCTAGGAGAGTGATCCTTACAATGAAAAATCAAGAAAAAATAATCCTCCAAGTGGCAAGTGAATTTACATTAGGGAAGAAAGTATTCAGATAGTTTCTCATTTGATGTGATCCTTTTTGAGAGGTACAGCTTTTTAGTAGAGACCATTCACAGCCCAAGAGTAACACAACCTACTATATATTAATTGTTATTACATTAAAATAAAGATCTTTTTCATCCTAGAAACATTTGCCTAAAAGCCCATTCCATTAAATGAATCCTTTCTATTCACATTAATTTTTATTATGAAATAATTGTAACTTCAGGGAAAATACACTGCTCAAGACAGAATTTATTAATTTTCAAAAAAAAAAACCATGCAATTTTTAAATTCATCTTTAGAGCCGTAATATTGTGTGGAGTTAAAGTACTGATTCTGCTTTGAGGGAGGGATACGCATAGGGAGAAATAGGAGGAAGAAAGGCTTCAGGGATAAATTAAAAATGGGCTTGTTCCCAGGAAAGTGTTCACAGATTGAGTGGTGAGAGAAATATAAACCTCTCCTTATATTGAAGACCTATCCAGAAATACCAAAACTCCAAAGTCCTTCAAAATGAATCAATGCCCTGAGTTTTTATTGTATGTAAAAATATCCCTAAAATGAGGAATATGTAGATGCACTATTATTTTATCCAGGTAACAAATCAGCAAGGAAATCAGTTGAGTGCTTTCTAAACATAAAACCATGCTATAATTATTAACCTCTTTGAAAAGAAGTCATAACTTTAAAAGACTTTTACAAATGACAAATTTCCATTTAAGTAAATTATGGCTATTGTGTGTGGTCTCAATAAAGAAACGTTTTTAAAACTGTGGGTAGAGCTAGAACGCGTCTACCACAGAAGAAACAATGGCTACCCCCTTCTGAGTGTTGCTTATAAATGTGGTCATTAGCAATAATTGAGATAACTAAAATGAGATTTTCTTCCATTGAAATGCTCAGGATTACATAAAAGAAGAAGAAATAATATTCAAAATCAGAATGTACTTACAAGTGACTTGTCACAATTTTCAGCTGACTCATCAGCAGCACATTTTTTTGCAAATTCAGTTACTTCATTCACTAATTTTACGTGGTCCTCAAATGGGCACTGCTGGAGATACTGAGAAAAGGCAACCAGCACCCTGAAACAAAGGACATAGAAAAACGCAGCATAATAACGTTTTAACGTAAAGTAGGTTACTATGCTAGAGAACAAATTGTGTATCTGTATACATTCTATATTTTATACATCTTTCTTACTATTGTTTAGAAAGCCTGTTCACATCAGCTATTATCTGAGGCCTAACCAGGCACATGTGGCTTTCTAAGCAAAGAAGCTGTGTATTTCCACCAAGTTTAAATATATGTGTGTGCGTGTCAGTAGACGTACACATATAGAACAAGCAAGCCAAATGTATTCTAAATGGATCTAATTGTTAAGACAAGGAGCATAACATTGACCCTTTGACTGATTAAAACAAAAAACTAAAACCACGCAATCTCATTTAATCAGGCTGTAGAATGAGATTGACCTTTAAAAAATAAACTGTTTTCTCAGTTTTTACAAGATTAAAACAATGTTAAAATGCTCTCAAGAAACCACAGATGAATTTGCTAGGTAAGGGAATGCAGTAAGTGAGTTGTGAAAGGAACCATACAGTAAAGTCTTCCCCACCGTGCACGTTATACAAGAGTTCCAGAGCCACGCTATCCTATTGAGTAGCCACTAGCCACATGTGACCACATAGATTTAAATAAATGACAATTAAATATTGTCTGAATTTTTGGTCCTCAGTTGCACTTGCCATTTTTAAGTATTTAGTAGCCACATGTGGCCAATGGTGACCACATTGGACAACACTGATACAGAATATTTCCATCAATGCAGAAAATTCTATTAGACAGTACTGTTCCAGAGTCTGGACCCTGATGACAAGGGAACATAAAAACTTCAGAATAATAACCAAGACTACTAGAAACATTAAATTTGACTCTTCAGTGTTTAATATTTTAACTTACAGGCCTTTGAAATGTTTTTCTCCCAAATCATTAAACCGATGAGCAATCTCACTCTTGTCTGGGGGAAAAAAAGAAAAAGAAGGCACCAAAAGATTTGTTTAAATTCTGAAGAAAACAACTGGTTATAATGTTCCTTTTTCTATTTCTCTCCATTTGATTTAGGTATTCATTTGCCCCAAAATATTGGTCTTTGATCCCTACAGAAAATCTTAGGATGATGGTAAACTATTCTTCTGCATTTAAACAGAAGTGTTATTCAATCAATGATATTATTTGAAAAATCATTAAAATCATCAAATATCTATAGCTTTATATTCATACTTGGAGAAGATCTAATGGTCTTGTAGAATCTATTAACAGAGACTGAGAGGACCGTTGAAATGAAAGATATAAGTACAAACTCTATTTATAAGATTAATGACACAGATTTTGGTTTTGATTTTATAAAGCAAGGTGCAGTAGGTAGGCCCTTAGGAATCCAGAGCTTCAACTGTATTCTGTGAGGTTTATGCCACTCCTTCTAAGTTCCTTCATGAGCAAAAGGAAATTACAGTTACTAAGCAATTCTGACCATTTTTTTCACCTAAGATGTTAGAAATATATTAATAACTTCCTAAGGATTCATAAATACAAAATATCATCACAGACTAGAAATAGATGCTAAAGAAAAACTTACTTCTTTAAAGATGCAGGGTTTACTGAAACTTTCTTTTACTAGGAAAATAAAATACAAGTTGAACAGTAGAAAAATAGAGTTCTTACGTGTATCACGACGCAACACGCCTCTGGAATAAGCAGAGCTGAAGAGAAAGAGAAGGGAAACAAAGGTTACCCACTGCATTGTGCCAAAGGCTTGTGAAGTTGATAGGAGAGAAAAGCTAGGAGAAATAGAGAGAAATTAGCACTAATATACTTCTTTCACCAATAATTATAGATTATTAACTAGACTCATCTTTGTATTCATTGGCTCCCAACTGATTACAAAATTTACAATATTCTTGCCAAACAATTGTTTGACTAATCTGTTGCGTATGTTTGCCATCTGGAACTGTTTTCTTCACAAGACCTGGTCAATTCATTAAAGTTATGTAAAACATCTTATCAAATTTTACATAAGAGTTTAAACGATTTGTACCTATTATTCATTACCATGTTCTTTATCTGTGATTTCCCATTTGAACATTTTAGTTTTCAATATTTGCAAAAATTTAACCAAACCAACACCTTAGCTTGGAAGTAAGGCATACTAAAAGAGCTCAGCTCCGAATTGTATCCATTACTAATTCCAAATGTGTCTTTATTGATAAATAATGAAAAATTTACACACACACAAACACACACACAGAGGGCATCCATGTCTTTTTCATTCTTCTGAAACTCTTCTGTCTGAAAAAGCTGCAAACTAAGAAAAAGCCATAACAACAACTAAAATGGATATTCATGAATTCTGCATTTCCATCCCAGCACTGGCCCATGAGTGATTCAGTCCCTGCAGTCGGATGCTTAGATGCAAGGCAGGTATCTCTCACTGTATTTTTCATTAAAGAGACGGGGAAGAAAATGGGTGCAAATGACGGTAATGATGACTTCGCCGTCATAATATACACAGGACAGTCTGAGCCCTGATTACACCTCGAGAGGTTATAAGAATCCTAGGCCCTCTTCACCAGGCATCATAGTCCTTCCATCCTTGTTTCACACTTTTTTCCTTTCTCCCTTTTAATAAAAAGAAAAGTCACCTGCTCTTCTTTAACATTATTTTAAATTTCAAAATAAATTTAGCCTTATGTCTAAAAACAAAGCAAAGCAAAGATAATTTTTCAAAAATATTTTTTCAAACTTCCTTCCCTACCCTCCCCACCCAAGATTCTGATCTCTGCCTCTAATGGGCTATTCTCTCCCTGGCCTTTTGATCCAAAGATGAAGAACTACAATAATTAGTAACAAGACAGTTGTTTCATTTAATTACATAACCCAGTCAACAAAAACTGTCAGTCAAGTTGCTCTATGGTGCATATAGACATGGAGACTAACAAATACTCAAGAGGAGCATTATTTTTCCTCTTTTATCATATGATGAAAGAAATATGCTTTCTATGATCGTATTTTATTTTATTTCATTTTCAGTTATGAGTGGTAATTAGATAATCAAGCACAGAAGAGGAGATAATAGATAGATGATTGATAGATGGACAGATGATAAACAACAGAGATGGACAGATGACAGAGACAGAGAGATGATAGATGGATGGAGAGACAGATGAGAGAGAGAGAGAGAAAGCGAGAGAGAGAGATGATAGATGGATGGAGAGACAGATAGATGAGAGAGAGAGAAAGAGAAAGAGAGAGATGATAGATAGATGGAAAGATAGATATACAGACAGACAGATAGATAGATGGAATTTTTTTAAGTGGCTCAAGAGAGTCCTAAATAATGGAGCCAGATTTGTCTTTCAGGTCGCAGATGAACAGAATTAGAAGAAAGTCCGCCTATGGAATTGTTTCCATTGGAGAAAACCAATTTTTTTAAAGCCCAAAAACCCACATTAGAAAAGAAAAAAGGAAATTATTCTAACTTTCTATTGTCCTAAATAGAGAAAATAATTCTTTTTTAGATAAATTATGTCAACTTTTAGTTCCCGAGAAAGAGTAGGCATCTTTTATTTGAAGTCAGTGTCCAACCCTAGCCTTTCCTTATGAGGCCCCAAGGAACGCTTGATCAAACATGAAATCCTTGTCATTTAATATGATTTACTAATTCACATTACTAATTCACAATTACTAATTCACTAATTCACTATTACCAATTCACAAAATCAAACCTTTGTCACACACACATACACTTTGTGCATATTTTTTCATTTAACAAATGTAAGGCATAATATTAATGTCTCCCTCTACTTTGCATTGCAATATTATATCTTAATGCAATGGTAAATATAGAAAACCAAAAAATATATAAAATTCATCATGATTCTAGCAACTTAGAATTGATTTTCCTATATTTAATGAAGATCTCATAGCTTTAAAAGATAAAATTGAAAATATCTGAAAAAATCTTTCCTACAGTACCAATAACATATTTTGCATGTGTGTATTCTTATTAAAGATTAGCAAATGGTTGAAAAGTTAAAATATTTAATTCTTAACACTGTTTGCTTAAAATTCATATTTATTAACAATAAACTCTTGAACATTTGCATTTTGAGGATTCCCAAAGTAAGAATTTCTACATTTTTCTTCTATTAATTCTGCATGTGCATTCTATATTGAGAAAAATAAAACCACATAATTGTTGGTTGTTTCTAAATATTCTGTTCTTCAAGCTTTTAAACTTTTATATTTAGTTAGTCATCAAAGGACTCTGGCATGAGGGTAACGGCAAATATTTAAACCAAGAATTATAAATATGGCTTACAGAATCTGGTTTCTAAGTAAACAGGAAACTAGCTCCAATGATTCTAAAATGTTTTCCCATTTTTTATGGGAGAAGTTTAAAAAGAGAGAGTAGGTAATAAAATTACTTGATGTGAAAAGAATCACAGTGTATTGATCATTTAGAAGAGAAAAAACAATACCTCAATTGAACCATAAATATAACTGGGAATTAAATCTAAATCTTTATCCCTTTTGTCCTTTGTTTTGCATTTATTTTGACAGGATAGAAAAGGCACAGAAGTAGATAAAATATGTATTTGGACCTGTCTCGCACTTCTTTGCAACCCCAATCATAACCTTAAACTACACCCTCTACTCCCCTCTGGATTTGTGAAGCTTCTCACAAAGTCACTCCCTCCATCTGGCCATCTTTTCAGTCCAGCCCTTACGCCATCTTCTTCTGTGATAGATTACTACTTCTGTGTCACCTTCTCCTAGAAATAAAGTGAAATATATGCATAAAAATGTGATAGCAGTGCCTAATAATATCCTCAGTATTTTAACAGAGACTTTCTGGAGACAACCACTTATCTGAAAGTGATTCCAAAATATGGGTGATTTGGTTTCGTTTGGAGATAAAATTGGGGACAGGAAAATCTTTTCTTAGCACTCCTCCTATAGTACTATGCACATATGCAGATCCAACATAAAATGAAGGGCCTGGACCACTTTCTGAAAAATATGGAAGGATGGAAAAGTGAAAAACCACTAAGCATCAAACTAACCAATTCAAACATGGTAAGCAATTTAATTTCTTATTCACTTGTGAAGAGACATTTCCCATTAAAAAATAAGAAAATAAATTGTCCAAAACCTATGAACTTGTATAGGCATTGCTAATGCAAATGAAAAATTGTAATGTGATCCAGATATCATCTCCTTGTGTAAGTCATCCCCCCAAAATACCCACTTGCATCAGTAAGAAATATAAAATTTGATGAAGATTTCATAGACGACGAGGAGAGGAAAGTTTACATTATAAAAACCACACTAGTGGGGCTGGCCCCATGTCATGGTGGTTAAGTTCAGCATGCTCCACTTCAGCAGCCTGGGTTCATGGGTTTGGATCCCAGGTGTGGACCTACACCATTAGTCAGCCATGCTGTGGCAGCAACCCACATACAAAATAGAGGAAGATTGGCACAGATGTTAGCTGAGGGCTAATCTTCCTCAAGGAAAAAAGAAAACAAAGCACTAGATCACCACCTTTGGCTTGTCACATCTCTTAAGTCCCTCTCTCTCTAAAGCTCTCATGGCAGGAGAGTCCCTTTTCCTCCCCTTTCTTCATGGTACACTGGGTTCTAGAATTTACATCTACCTCCTCTCAGATTTCCTAACCATTCACTTCAAATTTCTCAACTCTTTACTATACAGTTTAATTCAACTCAATGTGACTTTTTAGTTCCGAACTCAGACATGCAAATCCGTATGTATCTCCAAGCCATATGGATCAAGTGGGATTAAATTATCATCAAGGGCCCTTCTACTTTGAACATTCTGTGATTCCACATTTCCAGTGTAACAGTCTTATAGAATGAGAAAAGAATCTGACTGGTATTAGAATGAATATATCAAGTTAGGGAATTGGGATTCAAATTTAAGAACTTGTTCATTGCTGAGCTGTCCAATGGCTCCTCAGGCATTACTCTCCATCTAGTTCAGATTAACATTTTTAAGAAATCAAAAGTCATTTAAACTTGTCTAAACTAAGTAAATAAAATAACGCTTTCCCATATCTTTCTTATTGTCTTTCCAACCCAAGAGAAATATAGCTAATGCCTGAAATCCATGGTTATTCATTCTTTATGTAAGTTAACAAGTAGAATATACAAACATATCAATAGAAATTAATGCTGGTAACTCCTCCCTCATTAAAATAGCTATAGATGGAAATCAAAAACAAATGAATACTCTGCTGAGAGTTTAATAGTGCTTAGTCTATTCATATTCTATATTTTTTCCAAAGGTAATTCAAGAGACTTACCACCTAAAAGAAGGTGAAAGTTACAAAATTGAACTTTTTTAACCTTCTGTAAAACAACAAACATTGCATAACTATAATATTCCCATGTTTAAACTTTAGTACAACAAGTTTAGAAAGTTTTCATTGAGCGAGAAAATCTTTTTCTCCTTGATGTCTTCTAAAGCTTAGAATGTACTAGATGATTTGTAATCTCCGAGTGTCAGTCTTTACCTAAAACTGTTCTGATCTGCCCCCAACTGAGCCTTGGAATTTAAGTCTTTTGAAATTCTTGTCAGTTTTTCAAGTATCTATGTATGGGCTAACATGAAGAAATGAATTGTTTGATCCGTAAAAACTTGTAGCTCTTAAGAAATATATCAAATAAATAATTGGCCTATGTTCTCTTTTTTTTTTTTGGAGATAAATTCATCTCTAGTCTAATT